GGAAGGTTCTCTGCCAGGTTCTCACTGCCCCCCGTCGGGCAGCGGGAGGTGGTGAGTCTATCACAAGGGGAGTGACACCCCAACCCCGGCCAGGAAGACGCCCACTCCCAAGCGGCAGTGCAGCTTCCGGGCAGGCTGCAGTCTTGGCTGTGCTGTGTGACCCAGGGTGGCGGCTGCACCTCTCTGGGCCATCACAGCGCCTCCTGAGCTCCCTCCACAGCAGGCTTGAGGTGGGGCAGGAGAGGCTGTGGGGCCTCAGTGTGTGGCCAGCGCCCGGAGGGACCTTGGAAAAGCCCTCCGTGGCCTCCCCGTTAGATTTTGAAGCGAGGATACTGAGTGCGGAGGAGTGAGTGCGATACAGAACGCCTGCAAAACCGACATTTCAGTGTAAAACGCACGTGTGTACATACTTCCTCATACGTGTGCAGCATATATCTGGAAGGTGCCAGAAACGGGGTGCCTAGTGGGGGGGGGGGTTGGGCCGGTGGAGGTGGCAGGGGCGGGGGGGGGGGGGTCCTTGCTTGGATTCCAGGCTGGGCCTCCCACCCCGCTGCCGGCACTAGCCAGCCGCCCGCCAGGGGCTGTGAGTCCCGTCGGAGCTTTGTGGTCCTGCCCTCCCGCCAACATGGACCCAGCTCCCAGGAATGGCCCTGAGGGCCCGGGGACCCCACGCCTGGGCCTTGGGGTCAGGACAAAGCCCGCACCTCGGCAAGCCCGACACTGCCTCCGAGAAGCCCTCCTGGACCCGCTGCCGGCCTCCGTGTGCCACGTTTAACGTGTGTGTCCAGGACCAGGGACATGTTTGCGATGCCCAGGGGAAAAAAATCACAGGCCCTGGTTCAAAGCCAATCGTGAATTTCAAGGTGCCACCAGCAGAAGGGCCTTCTCGGCAGAGCACACACCTGTGAAGCCGGTGCACCCCCCGCCCCTCCCCCAGCCCCCCCAGCCCCCGCCTCCCCAAGACCCGGGCTCCTGAGGCAGGTGGGCGGGCGGGCGGGCGGGCAGGCGTCCTGTGCACAGGGCCCGGCAGACACGTTCTGTGAATGAACGGAGGCAAAGAAAGGACCGGTGCGTTGGGGTCCAAGGCCACCGTTCAGAAGGTCCCAGAGCCGGCCTCCTGGGCCCCGTGCCCGCTTCCCGCTCAGACTCTGCCCATAGCTGGGCTGATGGGCCCAACGGGCACAGTGACATCGCCAGTGCCACCCCCTCCGAGCCTGCTCAGGGGAAGGCGGAGGCTTGGAGGGCTGCCTGAGGTGGCAGCATGGATTGGTACTGTGGAGGGTGTGATGGCTTTTGGCAGGAGCCCAGACCCTGTCACTTAGGGCACAGGGGGGACTGAGGGCAGGACCCAGAGGCAGGAATGCCGGGGCGATGGGAGCCAGGGGGGACTGGGAGGGGGGGGCTGTGGCCTCCCAGGTCTCAAGGGGGTGCCGGAATGTGGGGCGGTCCCTGGGAGACCCTAACTGTGCATCTGCTGTTTCCAGTGGATGCCTCTGAGTGTGTGTGTGTATGAGTGTGTGTTTGCTGCGTGTGTGTGTGTGGGTATGAGTGTGTGTGTGCTGCGTGTGTGTTTGCTGTGTATGTGTGTGCGGTGTCCTGTATGTGTGTGTTTGCTGTGTGTGTGTTTGCTGTGTGTAGGTGGTGCCCTGTGTGTGTGTGTGTGTGCGTTGCCGTGTGTGTGTGTGTGTTTGCTCTGTGTGTGTGTGTGTTTGCTGTGTGTAGGTGGTGCCCTGTGTGTGTGTGTGTGCACGGTGCCGTGTGTGTGTGTTTGCTGTGTGTGTATGTGTGTGTGTTTGCTGTGTGTGTGTTTGCTGTGTGTGAGTGTGTGTATGTGTGTGCGTTTGCTGTGTGTGTGCGTGTTTGCTGTGTGAGTGTATGTGGGTGTGTTTGCTGTGTGTGTGTTTTTGCAGTGTGTGTGTGTTTGCTGTGTGTGTGTGTTTGCTGTGTGTGTGTGTTTGCTGTGTGTGTGTTTGCTGTGTGTGTTTGCTGTGTGTGTGTTTGCTGTGTGTGTGTATGTGGGTGTGTTTGCTGTGTGAGTGTATGTGGGTGTGTTTGCTGTGTGTGTGTTTGCTGTGTGTGAGTGTGTGTATGTGTGTGCGTTTGCTGTGTGTGTGCGTGTTTGCTGTGTGAGTGTATGTGGGTGTGTTTGCTGTGTGTGTGTGTTTGCTGTGTGTGTGTGTTTGCTCTGTGAGTGTATGTGGGTGTGTTTGCTGTGTGTGTGTTTGCTGTGTGTGTGTTTGCTGTGTGTGTGTGTTTGCTGTGTGTGTATGTGGGTGTGTTTGCTGTGTGTGTGTTTGCAGTGTGTGTGTGTTTGCTGTGTGGGTGTGTTTGCTGTGTGTGAGTGTGTGTATGTGTGTGCGTTTGCTGTGTGTGTGCGTGTTTGCTGTGTGAGTGTATGTGGGTGTGTTTGCTGTGTGTGTGTGTTTGCTGTGTGTGTGTGTTTGCTGTGTGTGTGTATGTGGGTGTGTTTGCTGTGTGTGTGTTTGCAGTGTGTGTGTGTTTGCTGTGTGGGTGTGTTTGCTGTGTGTGCGTTTGCAGTGTGTGTGTGTTTGCTGTGTGGGTGTGTTTGCTGTGTGTGAGTGTGTGTATGTGTGTGCGTTTGCTGTGTGTGTGCGTGTTTGCTGTGTGAGTGTATGTGGGTGTGTTTGCTGTGTGTGTGTGTTTGCTGTGTGTGTGTGTTTGCTGTGTGTGTGTATGTGGGTGTGTTTGCTGTGTGTGTGTTTGCAGTGTGTGTGTGTTTGCTGTGTGGGTGTGTTTGCTGTGTGTGCGTTTGCAGTGTGTGTGCGTTTGCTGTGTGTGTTTTTGCAGTGTGTGTGTGTTTGCTGTGTGTGTGTGTTTGCTGTGTGTGTGTGTTTGCTGTGTGAGTGTATGTGGGTGTGTTTGCTGTGTGTGTGTTTGCTGTGTGTGTGTTTGCTGTGTGTGTGTGTGCGTGCGCGGTGCCCTGTGTGTGTCTGTGCTGAGTGGGATGTGAGGCTCGGAGCTGATCCTCAAGGTCCTCTTGACACGGAATCCGCGTTGGTCCCGAGAAGAGGGGGAGGAGGGAGGAGGGAGGAGGGAGGAGGGAAGAGGGAGGAGGGAGGAGGGAGGAGGGAGGAGGGAGGAGGGAAGAGGGAGGAGGGAGGAGGGAGGAGGGAGGAGGGAGGAGGGCGGAGGGAGGAGGGCGGAGGGCGGCGTGGAGGGAGAGGGAAGGGAAGGGCTGGGGCTGGCAGGGAGCCGGGCAGGAGGGGAAGAGGGTTCGGACCCCCATCCTAGTTGGGGAGACGGAGCGCCCCCACTTCCGCAGGTCCCTGCCCGCGATCCCTCCTCCGCCCTGCGGCCCGCGGGCAAGTGCGCGGCTTTGGGGGCCCAGGGGAGGGGGGGATTTCACAGCCCCCACCCCTCCTCCTACCCCACCCCCACCCCCACCCCCACCCTCACCCCTACCCCCACCCCTCCTCCTACCCCACCCCCACCCCCACCCCTACCCCCACCCTCACCCCTCCTCCTACCCCACGCCCACCCCTCCTCCTACCCCACTCCTATCCCCACTCCTACCCCTACCCCCTCCCCTACCTACCCCCACCCCCACCCCCACCCCCACCCCCAGCCCCACCCGGACTCGGGGCCCAGAGCTCGCGCTGACGGCGCCGGGAGCTGAGCCGCGTCCAGCCCACCAGCCAAAGGGAGGAGGCGCGGTTGGGGCCGGCGGCGCCCTCCCCGCCGGCAGGTGGCGCCCCGCGGTCCCGGGTGGGAGGCGGCGCGGGGGAGCAGCGGGCGGAGGGGAAAGTTTCCGACCCTCCAGCCCCGAAGTCCCGGCCGCAGGGCGGGCGGCGCCAAAGCCAGGCCAACACTGCCCCCGCGTGGGCGCGCGCGGCGCTGCAGCCGACGGCCGCGCGGGGGAAACGGAGGCTGGAGCGGGCAAGAGCAAGGTCCCCGGGGAGAGATGCGGTGGGACAGGCCTCCTCTGAGGAAATAGAGACGCTGTGTGGGAGGGGGTGAAAGCCCAGAAATGGGGTGTGTGTGGGGGGAGGTCACCCAGCGGGTGGAACCCCACTCCAGCCCCACCTTCCCACCCCACGGGGGGAGGAGCACTGCCCCCAGCCCAGCCCCCACACGGGCTCTCTCCTGGGGCCTCTCCTGGGGCCAGGGCACTCCTCCAACCGGGGCTCCCCCCCACCAGCTCTGCTGGCCCCAAGCTCCCCGCTCACACGGCGCCCTTTTCCTGCTCAGCAGGGCGCCTGGGTGCGCGGTCCCCGGCAGTTTACTTACTGGCCAGCAGGTGGCGATAAAGACCCGGATCCTGGGCCCGGCCAGGGGCTGGGGCCAAACCCAGGCTACAGGGAGTGGAGGGGGGCTAGGAGGGGGGCTGGGGGGCTGGGGGGAGGGGCTGGAACACAGTGTGGCAGGGCCGCACCTGGCAGGGAGGCGGGGGGGGGGGGGGCGGCATTCCTGGTCAGTGCAGCGGGCAGATCAAGGCCAGACAGTACCTACGGCCTAATTCTCACCACCCCCTGACCTGGCTGGACCGCTGGCCTCCCCTCCCGCCCACCCAGTGCTGTGCCCAGGGGCCAGGGACCAGGAGGACACATGTCTGTGCGCCTGCACAGAGCTCTCTCCCCGGAGCCAGGGGGAGAGGTCAGCCAGCAGCCTTCAGCGGAGGCCGCTGGGGGCAGAGGTCAGGGCAGGTGTCTGCTCCAGATGTGGGCTGATCCAGGCAGAGGGGCTTGGTCCCAGGTGTGAGGTGTGTGGCAGGGTCTCCCACCTTCCAAACCCCGGCCCCTGGGACTGCCTGGCCCCCCACCCATCTGTCTCAGCGTAGCCGTGACCCCTCGCGACCCCTTGCGACCCCGGTCCAAGAACCCTGAGCCCAGCAACCAGGCCTGGGAGAGGCTTGCAGGGTGAGACCTGGCAGGTCCAGGCCCCGGGGGTGTACGTTTATTTGCAGGGCGAGGCAGGCCTGCCCGCCCCCAGGCCCATGGCCACGGCTGGGCCAGGGTCCGGGGCCATCGTCGCCGAGCCTGCTACTGCAGAGCGGAGGGCAGGAGGAGCTGGTACCCCTTCGGACGGCCTCGCTTCAGGTCCAGGCGGGGCAGGAAGGAGTCCTGGAGGAGAGGGTGCAGGCAGGGGCTCTGGGCCGAGACAGGGCTCCGGGGACCAGGGGGCAGACACGCACCCCATGATGCAGACGAGGGAGCGTGTGGAGCTGGGATCTGAACCAGGCTGCCCACCGAGAGCCCCCCCTTGGCCACCCGTGTGGGGAGGCTGTCCCTGGCTCCCCCGCCCCCCCGCCAGGCAAGGGGCTCGGGGCGGCCGGCCGCCGCGGGCACTCACCATGCCCGCCTGGCTGAGGATGCTGGGGGTGCCCAGGAAGGTGTTGCGGTCTCTTTGCCACCACGGGGTGCTGCTCGAGGGGGTGTCCTCAGAGACGAGGCTCTGCCGCCCCAGGGTGGGCCTGCGGGGCACAGCGGCCTGTGAGCCCAATGGGCCCCCCGCCCCAGGGCCCCCCATGGCTGGTGGAGCCCTCAGGGCCCTGACCCCGGGCCTGCCGCTGCTGCCAGGGCGGTCTTCAGGGTGAGGAGGGACACCCTGGGGGCACACTCGAACCCCCGCCCGTCCCTGGAGCCTCACAGGCCAGGGCGGTCCCGGCCGGCCGTGGCCTCCTCCCGGGGCCTGGAGTCCAGGTTCCTGGGCAAACTCTCCAGCCACCTCCTGATGCTCCCAATCACGGGCGCCAAGTTCACGGGCGCCAAGTTCACCGACGCGGGGGCTGGCCCGGGCGGCCGGGTGCCTGTGAGGCCCTGCTGGACTGGAGGAGGGAGGGCACCGTGAGAACTCTGCCCGAGAGGCACTCCCCCCTCCGCCTCCCCCAGCTCTCCCTGCTCCCTGACAGGCAGGCAGGCAGAGCCCGTCTCCATGGAAACCCAAGGCTCCCTCTCTGGCTGCCTCCAGAGGACACTGGCTCGGGTTTTAAAACCACCTCGTGCGCCTGTTTCTGCCTTTATTCCCAGTCGGTGCCCCCACACCCACTCCCGCTCCAGCCCCAAACAGCCCCCCTTCCTACGGCGGGAAGGCCAGTCACCCCACCGGGGACCCCGAGAGAGGGCCACACCCTCCTCAGTCCTTCCCGCCAGAAGCTGCCCTTCCCATTGGTCAAGGACCTGAAGGTGGAAGGGGCAGGAGGCAGCGCGGAGCCCCACTCCGGCACCCTGGGTGCGGCCACAGCTCCCGTGGCGTGGCCATGGCCGTGGCCGTGGCTGGTGGCGGTGGCTGGTGGCTGGCCAGGAAGTTCTCCATGCCAGGCAACGGCCATTTGCATGGAACTGTTTCTCCAGGCGCCTCCTTCACCTGGATTCCCACAGGCTGCCCCCCCCCACCCCCCTGCCTCTCTTCCTGGCTGCAGTGTCATCTGTTTTGGGGCCTTGGCTTCCCCATCAAACAGCCCGAGGTCGGGCAAAATCACAGCTTCTCTCTGCAGCTCCCGTGGCCCTCGGGGAGCCGGGGAGAGTCCTGCCTGAGCTGGCGAAGGCTTGGGGCAGCTGTGTCCTGGCCCTGCACACAGGAGGTCACACACACAGACCCTCAGAAGGGAAGAGGCAGGGCGGCTGGAAAGGGGGCTTTGGTGAAGGGTCTGCCAGCAAGGACTTGTGTTCTCTGCGCCTCCCGACACCGGAAAACACCGGAAACCAGGCCAGACCGACGGACCGCCACGTTCACCCGTGAGGAGCTGGCAAACTCTGCCGGGGCCCGGCCTGCTGGCTCCCGCTTCTGGCCAGGCCAGGCGGTGCCAGTCTTCCCGGCAGAATCTCCTGGGCCGTCTGGCAGCTCCTCCTCCAGGTCTGCTTTCTCGAGTAAAGGAAGGAGAGGGTCCGATGCCTCCCACCACCTCCAGCCGCCGTGGCCTTGGGGCCGGACGCGGGGGCGAGAGGCCGTGGGTGCTGCTCCGAGGGGGCAGGCGCGGCGTGTGGGACCTTGGCAGCAGTCCCTCGGGGTGGCGAGGCCTGGGCTGCTAGTGTCTCCTGCTCCGGCACCATGGCTCTGCCCGCAGCCCCTGCCTAGGACACTTCCCCGGACCTCAGACCTGGTCCCTGAAGGTCACCTGACCGCCTCCGCCAGCCGGGCACTTCCTCTGAAGGGCGATGGCCTCCCGACCTCTGCAGGTGGCACCTCCCTCCCAGACCCAGGGCCACAGCCCCTGCTCCCCCAGCCACAGCCCCTGCTCCCCCAACACAGCCCCTGCTCCCCCAGCCACAGCCCCTGCTCCCCCAGCCACAGCCCCTGCTCCCCCAGCCACAGCCCCTGCTTCCCAAACCACAGCCCCTGCTCCCCCAGCCACAGCCCCTGCTCCCCCAGCACAGCCCCTGCTCCCCCAGCCACAGCCCCTGCTCCCCCAAACCACAGCCCCTGCTCCCCCAGCCACAGCCTCTGCTCCCCCAGCCACAGCCCCTGCTCCCCCAGCCACAGCCCCTGCTCCCCCAGCCACAGCCCCTGCTCCCCCAAACCACAGCCCCTGCTCCCCCAGCCACAGCCTCTGCTCCCCCAGCACAGCCCCTGCTCCCCCAGCCACAGCCCCTGCTCCCCCAAACCACAGCCCCTGCTCCCCCAAACCACAGCCCCTGCTCCCCCAGCCACAGCCTCTGCTGCCACAGCCCCTGCTCCCCCAGGGCCAGGCTGGAACTTTCTGGAGCCCCGGGGCTCCCTGTCCCGGCTGCTTACATGCACATCTTCGCTCCCAGTAGCGAAACGCCGTGTCCTGCAGCGTCTCGTCAGCGAATCGCACTCGGAAGGGGCTACACCTGTGCCGGTAGGGCCCGGAGGCTTCCGAGGAGCTGTGGCTGAGCGCGGCCTTGAGCTTGGGGGCCTGCAGACCGCAGGGACTGCGGAGGGAGGGAAGGGGGGGGGGCTGAGGCCTGAGCCCCACTACATCCCAACCACACGCCCCCCAGTGGCCGGGCACAGCAGCGGCCTCTCTGAGCGCCTCCTGCCTGTAGGCTCTGGGCCAAGCATGTGGCATGTGGCACCGGCCCAGCCCACATAACTCCACGACACACAAGGACTATTCCCATTTTACAGGTGAGAAAACCAAGGCACAGAGGTGCCCTGCAATCGCCCAAGGTCACACAGCCAGGAAGGGGTGGCAGCAAGATTTGAGTCCTACATGGGGCGTTTCAGCACAGAGAATACGGATATGAACTTGGGAGTCAGGCAGTGCTGGGTTTCAGTGGTAACTCTTTTAGTTTGTGTTGTTGTTTTTTAAATTTTTTGTATTGATTTCAGAGGGGAAGGAGAGGGAGAGAAAGATAGACATCAATGATGAGGGAGAATCACTGATCGGCTGCTCCCGCAAGCCCCCCAGGATTCAAACCTTGACCTCCTGGGTCATGGGTCTGTTCTATCACTATGTGCTAGCCCAAGCGCGAGGCCGAGTCACAGCCAGCTCTACCCCCTGTCTGAACCCTCAGCTTCTCCTCTCCTCTCCTGTTTTTTATTTTTTTATTTTTTATTATTGATTTTGTACAGAGAGGAAGGGAGAGGGATAGAGAGTTAGAAACATCAATGAGAGAGAAACATCGATCAGCTGCCTCCTGCACACCTCCCACTGGGGACGTGCCCGCCACCAAGATACATGCCCTTGACCGGAATTGAACCTGGGACACTTTAGTCTGCAGGCCGACGCTCTATCCACTGAGCCAAACCAGTTTCGGCTCCTCTCCTGTTCTAATGCACCTGGCATTCCCCCACCCCAGGGCCCTCCAAAGCTCCACCCACTGCAAGGTGCTTGGGATTAATTAGCTCCTGAATATGAGACCGAATATGTCCGTCCCTGCTGCTCTCATGTTGGAGATCATGCGTGCCACACGCTTATTTATCACGTCTTTTCAGAAGCGGGGTGTCTGCCTGGCCTGAGGGACTTAAAGCTCCTGGTTGGCCAACATGTTTCATTTCCGGCACCTACTCTGACCCGTCAGGGGAGTCTGCGAGGAGTGTGGTGTCAGGAGGGACTCTGAGGCTCCGCGCGGAGGGGAAGTGCTGTGATCCATTAGTTCTGTCTGCCATGGGTCCGGGTTAGAAGGATGGTGTGTAAGTCATGTATTCACTCTCCCCGGTCTTTAAGCTCATGGGCACCCTTCACCCCGTGTAAGCCTGTTTCCGATGGAAGAATGTTTCTGCATCCTTTCCCCCTCCATTCGAGCTACGGTTTCTAAGTCCCCGGAGCACTAATGCCCGGGCTTTCCTCTTACTCCATCCCTTATTTAATTTCCCCCAATACTCGGCATATAATAAAACCTCATAAATGGTAGAAGAAGAAATGGATGGATGAATAGTGGGGCTGGGCAAAAGGAAGGAAGACTGGTGAGTGGGCAGGTGGATGGAGAGACCGATGGGTGAATGAAAACATCTGAATGGGAGAACTAGATCTTAGGAGGATGGGTAGATGTATGAATGGGCGGATGAATAATTGTGTTGATGGGTATGTAGACTTGTAGATAGCTCCATGACTAGATTGGAGATGGATAGCATCCCGGATTTATAAGTGGATAGAAGGATTTCTAGATAATTAATCTAAGAATCGGATTTGTGGATAGAACTGTGGGGATTTGTGAACAGATGAATGACTGACCAGAAGGGTGGGTGGATGGATGGACCGGTGGATGAATGAATGGGTTGTAGAAGACCTGGCTCATAGATAAGATGTACACAAGGATGGAGGGGCGAATGGGAGAATGAATAGATGAATGGATTCCTGGGTGAATTATGAATGTGTTGGTAGAAGACCAGATTAATGGGTAGACGGATTCCTAGATGTTGATGTATGAGTCTTGAATGCGTTGGGAGAAAACTGGATTGGTGGATTGACCTGTGTAATGATGAATGAGTCCATGGGTGGTGGATGGATGGGTGGGTGGGCGGACTCAGATAGAGTTGGAATGCTTTGGTGGGAGACCGGATTTGTGGACGGACACATGGATGGATGGACAGATAGGTGGGTTCATGGGTGAAGGGCAGAGGAAAGAACAGAAAGATTCCTTTCCTGCCCTCCCTCATCCTCCCGCACTCACTTGTGGGCCTTTTTGACCTCGGTGAATTGTGGGTGCTCTCTCCTTAGGGGCCCCAGCGTGTGGTCTCTCCTTAGCAGTCCCAGGGGAGGTATCTGATGGCTTGAAACCTTCTTGAGACTATTCTCGAAGTTCGATGACTGGCACCTTGAAGACAAACAGGCCACCCCTGGCATAAGTGGTCAGGGTCCCCCACCCTCGGAGCATCCATGGCAGCCCTGTCTCCACCCGTGGGTCGCCCGCACTCACCCCAGGTGGGGAAGGAAGGAAGGATACGAAGGCGCTTTCCCCAACCAGTGCTCTGACCCAGGCCTCTGCTGACGGGATTCTGGGGCTGCTGGGGGCAGAGGGTGGACACAGTGAGGAGGTCTCCTCAGTTCTGTGGCCTAGGCCTCAGTCTCCTCCTTCCCCAAACAGGGGCCCCTCTCCAGGGGTGGTTGCCAGAACTCAGCCTGGAAGCCAACTAACACGACCAGTTCTTGGCGAGGCGGTGGGCCTGCCCCACTGAAACCGCTCCGCCCAGGCCCAGCACTGGGACCCCGCGGGCCTCACTCTGTGCCTCCAGCTTCTCCGCCCAGTGGGCCCCGAGCTGGCGCAGGACCGTCTGGAACTTGCTGGGGAGGAGCTGGCCCAGCAGGGCGCCCAAGGAGTCCCTGAGGTCCCCGGGGTCCCTGGCCAGGCCCCTTCCGTCCGCCCGGCACTCTCCGGGCTCGGGGTGCACCCGCGTCCAGGGCGCCTTGTCCGGGACGCGCGGCGGCGGCAGCAGCAGCGACCTGAGCCCGGGGCGGCGTGCGGGCCGCGGGGCCGCGGCGGGCAGGGGCGGCAGGCGCGGCGGGGGCCGGCGCGGGGGCGCCTCGCCGCCGGAGGCCGGCCACCACTCGGAGCCAACCGGCGCCCGCCAGCCCCCGGGCCGCCCCGCGCCCCCCGCCGGCGCCTCGCACGGGGGCCAGCCGGGCGGCAGCGGGGCCGCGCGGCGCCGGGCGCGCTCGCCCGGGGGCCTCTGGGGCGCCCCCTGCTGGGCGCGGGCGTCGGGGTGCCAGCGGGGCATGGCGGCCCTGCGTCAGCTCAGGGCATCCTCACGCCGGGCGCTGGGGGGCGCCGGGCAGGGAGCGGGGCAGAGGCGGCCCGGGCCAGGGCGCCCGGCTGTCGGGGCGAGCACGCTCCCCGCGGCCCCGCTGAGTCCGCCCCGGCGGCTCCGGCCGCTGTGACGTCCGCGGGGCTCAGGGCGGGCGCTCAGGGCGCGCTCCTTGTGATGGCGACAAGGAGGAGGGTGTTCTTTAGGGTTTGGTCTCGCCCGGGAAGGTGTGACCTGGGGCGCCAGCTGCTGCCCAGTGGCCTCAGCTGTGGGATGGGGGGACGGCTGTGGGGTGGGGGGCGGCTGTGGGGTGGGGGCGGCTGTGGGGTGGGGGCGGCTGTGGGATGGGGGGCGGCTGTGGGGTGGGGGGGCGGCTGTGGGGTGGGGGCGGCTGTGGGATTGGGGGCGGCTGTGGGGTGGGGGCGGCTGTGGGAAGGGGGACGGCTGTGGGATGGGGACGGCTGTGGGATGGGGGCGGCTGTGGGATGGGGGGCGGCTGTAGGATGGGGGCCGGCTGTGGGGTGGGGGCGGCTGTGGGAAGGGGGGGCGGCTGTGGGATGGGGGGCGGCTGTAGGATGGGGGCCGGCTGTGGGGTGGGGGCGGCTGTGGGAAGGGGGGGCGGCTGTGGGATGGGGGGGCGGCTGTGGGATGGGGGCGGCTGTGGGGTGGGGGCGGCTGTGGGATGGGGGGCGGCTGTGGGATGGGGACGGCTGTGGGAAGGGGGACGGCTGTGGGATGGGGACGGCTGTGGGATGGGGGCGGCTGTGGGGTGGGGGAAGGTTGTGGGATGGGGGCGGCTGTAGGATGGAGGGCGGCTGTGGGATGGGGGGCGGCTGTGGGATGGGGGGGGCGGCTGTGGGATGGGGGGGCGGCTGTGGGATGGGGGGCGGCTGTGGCCCTTCTCCAGGGAAGGAGCATCTTCTGCTGGGAATTAGGGGACCTGGAACCAGCCTGTCTGAGGCTGGGCCCCCCTCCGCCCCTCGCCCCGGGGTGGGGAGCTGGTTGAAAACACAGGTGCCCCCGGTTCTGGTTGCGTAGGTTGGTGGTGGGACCCTCTCCCCCAAAGGGGGGCCCAGACCCGCCCCCAGCGGATGGATGGCCCGGGTCCGCCCAGTCCGCCTCCTCCTTACCCCACTGCCCGCCCCGGTGCTGTCAGGGGCCAGAGAAGGTCCCAGGAAGCATAGCGCCCCCTACAGGTGGCTGGTGGCTGCGAGAGCCCATCTTCCCCGCCGGCCTCTCCGCGGCCCCTCCCCGCGGCCTGCAGGGCCTCTCCGGGCCATTGTGACCCGCCTCCCCCCGCCCGTGCGGGGCAGCTGCACCGAGGCCGGGGCGGAGGGCGGGCTCGGTGCTCAGGCCGCCAGGGCTGAGGTCACAGGGGGGGACTCCTGACCAGGGCAGCCAGGCCCCCAGGGACGGAGGGCCAGCGCTCAGCTGCCCCCTCCAGGCCCGGGAGGCCCAGGGGGTCAGGTTGGGGCCTGTGGCTCAGCGGAACCTCCGGGGGAGGCTGGCAGCACCAGGGCAGCGGCCTGGGCGCCGGGAGACTCAGCGGGAGCCCATGCCCGGCCTCTGCGCTGCGCGGTGCCAGGCAAGGGTCCTCGGTCAGACTCCCTGGGAAGGTGGACGAGAGGGTAAACGCTCGGTTTGGGAAATTGGAGTGAGGGACAAGGGGAATCTGGACCAGTGACTTCACTGGCGTGGCGTTATCTTACAATTTGAACATGAAAAAACAACAACTTTGTAATAAATTGCCAGGCGTCGGCCTGGGGGAAGCATCACCGACTATGTATTCTGTCTCTGCAAACACTCCTCAGCCCCGGGCGGGAGGGCACGCCTCCTTGGGAAGGCAGAACACTGCGGAGGGAAGGCAATATGCATTTTTACTTATTTTAAAGGTGCGTGAGTTTTTTAAAAGTGGGTGAGGAACATCAGGCTGACTGGATGAAGTCTAAGGAGCCCTCCAACCTTGCGTGCCGTCAACACCGATTCCAGGCTTGGGAATTCGGAAATGCAGGAGGCTTTGAGGTCAGGGGGCTGGCCGGACCTGGAGTCGGGGTGGAGGGTAAGGACTTCCTCTTCTGCTGACAGGAAGTAAAGGTAGGATCTCTAGGCACCCCTAAAAGAGCTGACCTCAGAGCTGCCCCCAAATGAGATCGGCGTTACCCAGGATGTATCCCCTTCCCTTAGAGACATGGAAAATGGAGCGGGGGGAGGGGGGACCCACGTCTGACCTGGGGTACGCTAGAGAGGATGCCAAGTAATACGGACATAAACAGATGTGGGGGTTCCACCGGTGGTTTTCCAGCACCCCATATCGTTTTCACTTCATTAGAGTAAACACACGTAAAGCAACTCCTGTACGCAACCCCCCGAGGAAGGAACTGGCAGCTGAAGGCCAGGAGGGCAGGTTAGGAAATGAACTCAGAATGAGTATTGTCACTGTAACAAGCGCCAAACCCGAGGCCTGATGTGCACTATCCCACAGACCGAAGTCCAGAGTGCTGGAAGCATTTCTGTTTTCTGGGGGGGACGTGGGGGCCGGCAGTCTCTTTGGAATGGAAGCTTCCTGGACTTATGCTGCTTATTTGGGGTGGCAGCCCCGTGGCACTGCCAAGGGTGTTTCCAAGGGTGTTTCCTTTTTTTCTTCTTCTTTCCTTTTTGGATCTGTATATTATTTAATATATATATATATTATATAATATATATAATATATATATTATTTACAGAGAGGAAGGGAGAGGGATAGAGAGTTAGAAACATCGATGACAGAGAAAATCCATCAGCTGCCTCCTGCACACCCCCTATTGGGGATATGCCTGCAACCAAGGTACATGCCCTAGACCGGATTCGAACCTGGGACCCTTCAGTCCGCAGGCCAACGCTCTATCCACTGAGCCACACCGGCCAGGGCATTTTAAGAAGCGAATTGTTCTGGGTGGGGTTTGAGGATAAGGCTTTTATGGCCGCTCTGTGACCCAGCGGAAAAGCCACAGAACGCTCGTTTTCCCAGTCCAGCCTTACTCCCTCCAGCGGACCGGGGGCGGGAGAGGCCGGCTCTGCGCAGGTCGGTGAGGTCGGCGCCCGCGGGGCGGGGCTAGCCGGTGGCGGGGCGGGGCGATCCGGAGGCGAGGCGGAGCCAGCCGGTAGATGGGGCGGAGCCACCCGGCCCCGCCCCCGGCCCCGCCCCTGGCCCCGGCCCCGGCCCCGGAAGTGACGCGGGCGGACAAAGGCAGCGCGCGCCGCGGTGTCGGGTCGGGCTGGGTGTGATCGGGCGGTTGTGCCTCCGGGTCTGCGCTGCCGCCGCCGCCCTCGCCTTCCCCTCCCTCTTCTCTCGGTCCCGGGAGCCGCCCCGGGGTGAGTAGCACGAGACGGAGCGGGGGCGGCGGCCACCGGGAGAGGGGAGGCCCCGGCCCCCAACGGCCTCGGCGCCCCAAGGACCCGGCTCGTCACATGACCCGCGTGCGACTGGCCCGGCCCCGGCCCCGGTCCCACGGGCGGGGGTAAGGGAGGAAGGCCGGGGTCCCCAGAACCGGGGTCCTCCCCACGCCGGTCCCCGAGCCGCAGCAAGCCCCCTTCCTGCTCCGAGTCTCAGTCCCCCCGCGCGGAACCGGGGCGAGGAGGTGGGTGCCAGGCCTCAGCGCAGAGCTCAGTTCGGAGCGGGCACAGGTTCTGGCCTGACAGGTTCGCTGCCCAGAGACCTTGGAGCCAAGGTCAGCGTGTTCGAGGAAAGGCCAGATCTGGGGCTGCGTCCAAGGTGAACTGTGACAGCAACTCCCATGGAACAGGCATGAGGCCATCGTGACAGAGGCCAGGCTTTGCTGCCTGTAAACTGGGGTCCCTGGGACCAGAGAATCGCTGTATAGTCAGGGGTGTCCGAGGCCCTGGGCCAGGGTGCAGGAGGTCTGGACATAGGATCGCTGCCCAAGGCGATGGGATGAGGCCCTGGGAGGACTAGGCCTCTGTTCCGAGTTTGCAGTGTCTTAAGGCACATCACCTCTTTAGGGGACAGTCTTTCTGGCTGCACTGGGGCTGTGGCAGGATTGGGGAACATGCGGAAAGCTTTAGAACGGAGGCCAGAAGCCACAGTCTCAGATAGCATCTCCAGTGTCTGCAGTCTTTCTGTGCTTCCTCCCCTCTCCCCCCAGACTCAGCTGAGGCTGCTAATGACCAGCCACCCAGCCTAACAGTAATAACCCAGGTGTGTCCAGCACTAGTGTACGGGCACTTCAGTGCATTTTTCTCTTTGATTGGCACGATGGGCAGAGATAACGGACGGGAATCTCATTTGACAGAGATTTGGAACCTGGAGATACCATGTGCCCGGCACTGTATGGGTCACTTTATCCATTTTTAAAAATATATATTTTATTGATTTTTTACAGAGAGGAAGAGAGAGGGACAGAGAGTTAGAAACATCGATGAGAGAGAGCCATTGATCAGCTGCTTCCTGCACACCTCCTACTGGGGATGTGCCCACAGCCAAGGTACATGTCCTTGACTGGAATCGAACCTGGGACCCTTCAGTCCACAGGCCAACACTCTATCCACTGAGCCAAACCGGTTTCGGCACTTTGTCCATTTTTTTAAAATGTATTGATTTGAGAGCGAGAGCGAGAGCGAGAGAGAGAGAGAGAGAGAGTGTGTGAGACATCACTCAGCTGCCTCCCTGTGTGTGCCCTGGGCAGCGAACGAACCCACAACCCAGATATGTGCCCTGACCGGGAATCGAACCCCTGGCTGCTGCCCTGCCCACCATTCAGAAAGGGTTCCCCCAGCCTGAGATCCCACGGCACCCTCTGGCTCAGGGAGAGTCCCGCCACCTTGCAGGGTACGGGACAGCTCTGACCACTGCGCCACGCTGCCAGGGCCACTTGACGCTTTTGCGGTCCGTGCTGCTGCTCCTGTTTGATAGATGGAGGACCTGCGGTGCCAGGTGAAGTGTCTGAGCTTCCACAGCCCATGAGCAGCAGAGCTGGCAGTCAGGCCCGGATCACTTGATCTCATCGGAGCCTTTGTTGGTTAACATTTCCCCCTGCTTCTCTTTTCTTCCTCCCTCCTTCCCTTTGTTTTTCATAGAGCATCCTGCCATTCTCGTATGTCCACCTGCAGACACACAGATCCGAGGAGAACAGGCCCCGTCCCGCAGGCTGCACGCAGGAGGAGGTAACAGCCAGCTCTGGCCTGCTTCTCCCAGAGACAGAGGGCTGAGGGGCTGAGAGGGCTCTGCCTGCGCTGCCAGTGACAGTTCCCGCACATTCTCTTCCGGGGCTCCCGGGAGAGAAGGAGCTGGGGCAGCCAGCCAGGCATTCCCTACACACCTCGGAGGGGGAGAAGGTGCCCGAAGACCGTGAAGGCTGGGCAGGTGCATGCTCCGGCCGAGGAGCACAAGCTCACTGTGGGCAGAGAGAGGGTTTCTCTGTCCCCCCCCCCCCCCCCCCCCCCCCCCGTGAGCCTGGGGCGCACCCAGCCAGGTTGGCCCCGGCCCTGTCTCTGTAGTGTCCAAGCTCCTCACTGTGATCTGGGCAGAGTGTGGGAGGGCCTCCTGCTTTTTGATTGACAACCCCGCTTCCTCTGACCCCTAGGGACCCCGCCCACACCGTGGGTCTCATTTACTAACGAATCAGCTCTTAGAACAAATGTCAAAGCTATAGTTGCCATTTTCTGGCCTAGATGGCTCTCCCCCGGCTTGTGCCTGTAAGTGGAATTCTTGTAAATTAGATCATTCCGGGGACCTTGACATTTAAAGGAATCATGTTATAAGGCTCTTGGTAAAGCACATGATTCTATTGTCGGTAATGGCCTTCAGCGTTACCAGTTTTGAGTGGTTGGGTTTTTATGTGGGGCTTTCTTAAAAATGGAAATGGGCTGCAGCCACACAAAGCTCATTCTTTGATTCATTCAACAACCAATTAGCAAACACCCACCTGTAGCAGGTGCGGGGCTAATGGTGCTGAAAGAATGACCCTGCCCTGGGAAGCTAAAACCCCGAGGGCCTGCAGGCAGGCAGGGAGAGTAGAGCCAGGCACGTGTTTGATCTCTGATTCATTCTGTTAACGGGAAGTGTGTGTTTTGCTGAATCGCACGTGGGATTCAGAGAAGCCAGTGATACACTGGTGTCGCCTCTCGGCTGCCGCCGTCCGCCATTCAGAAAGGACGCCTCCAGCCTTGAGGTCCAGGGCACTTTCCAGCTCGGAGAGAGTCCTCGTGATCTCCGTGGTCTTTCGTTTTGCCCCGTCTCCTGTGGGCTGCCGGCTCTCGGGGGGTTGGGCTTGATGCTGACAAGCCTCAGCAACTAGAACACGTGAAGTTCGCTTTGTAAAATGACCTGAATGCAGAAGGCGGAAGGCACTGTCCCCCGCCGAGGGGTAGCAGCAGATGGGGGCACTGGACATCCCTCTGCGTCAGGCGGGACTGACCAGCCAAGCCGGGAGCCGGCCCTCCCCCTGGCTAACGCACTCCATGTTTGCACAGGAAGTGCCGCTGCGGAGTCCGAGCAGCCACATTGGAGACAGCATGACGAGCGAGGTGATCGAAGACGAAAAGCAGTTCTACTCCAAGGCCAAGACGTACTGGAAGGACATCCCGCCCACTGTGGACGGCATGCTCGGGGGGTACGGCCACATCTCCAGCATCGACATCAGCAGCTCCCGGAAGTTCCTGCAGAGGTTCCTGAGGGTAGGCAGGTCTGGGGTGCGCTCCGGAGCGTGTGCTGGCGCCACCTGACTCTACCGCTCAGGGCCTGTGGTGTGCCAGTCTGCACCCAGGCCCGGAGGGCAGCGGCTGGCTGTGGACTGTGCTTCACCGTGACCTGACGGGCACTGGCTGTTATGCAGGGGGTCGTGGTCTCCCTGTAAATTGTTCCATTTCCCAGGCACGAACCTTCGCTCTCCGGCCATGTTTGTGGGCATTTGGGCTGTGGGTGTTGGCTGTCCCGGTCACCCCCCACTGCCTCTCCTGCCCCCCCTTTGCTAGAGAGCAGAGGCCGCTCTGGTTGTCATCGTCCCGTTTGTTCCAATCCCGTGTCACTGATTGGCCTCTCCTGGCCTTTCACGGACTGAATTCTTCCTATTCTCTGTGCCGTCATTTCAAGGGGTCTCGGGAGTGAAATGAATGCACCTGCTCAGGTCAACTCCTCAGAGTGGGAGCTGCTTTCCTGTTGGAAACCTGGCCCAGAAAACTCAGGCTCTCATACACACACACACACACACACACACACACACACACACACACACACCTCCAGGCTGGAAGGGCCCGGGGCAGACGGTCCCTCTGGCTTCCTGAGCGTCCTGACGCCTGTCCTGTTTTAGGAAGGCCCCAACCAGACGGGGACCTCCTGCGCCCTGGACTGCGGCGCCGGCATCGGCAGGATCACCAAGCGGCTGCTCCTGCCGCTCTTCCGGGCGGTGGACATGGTGGACGTGACGGAGGACTTCCTGGCTAAAGCGAAGACCTACCTGGGCGAGGAGGGCAAGAGGGTGAGGAACTACTACTGCTGCGGCCTCCAGGACTTCAGCCCGGAGCCCAGCGCCTACGACGTCATCTGGATCCAGTGGGTGATAGGTGAGCGTCCCGCTTCCCAGACCGAGTCCCCAGGCGGGCAGCGGGGGTTCCTCCAGCCCCCTGTGCCCCAGGACTGCGGGGCACGCTGCCTTAGAAGTACATTGCTTTCCATGTTCTATTTAACTCGGCACCTGCTGTGACCCAAATTTTTTCTTGAAAAAATTTAATGTCCAAGTGACTTAGAACATGGGTAGTTTTATAAGAGAAGTTGAAGCTTTTGCTGTCCCTGCTATTGGCCCTCTCTGCCTACCGGCACACCCAGGGTGCTCCCCAGGCTGCTGGCCTTGAGCAGCCACTGTTCCTGCAGCCAGCCACCCTCTCAGGCAGGCAGCACCGCCCTGTGGGACCTACTGCATCTGGCCCTGTATCCTGTGGTCCCAAAGCCTGCCTGGAGTTTTACTGTAGGCACACCGCCCTGGCCCAGGCCTAGGAGGGTGGGGGGCATGTGGAGGGAGGTGTCCGGCGTGGCCTGGTCACTTGGTCAGGGCGGAATCCCCGCTGCACATGTCATGGCAGCCCGTCTCTTTCACACAAGGGGCTGCAGTGACCCCCAGGACTGCTGAGGGCAGTGTGGCCTGTGTGTCCACCAGAAAGTGGAACACGCAGTGGCTGAGTGGAGCCGCCAGAGGAGCGTGCCCACAGCAGCCCGTTCCCGCCTCTGCCTTCCAGGCCACTTGACCGACCGGCACCTGGCCGAGTTCCTGCGGCGCTGCCAGCGCGGCCTGCGCCCCAACGGCATCATCGTCATCAAGGACAACATGGCCCAGGAGGGCGTGATCCTGGACGACGTGGACAGCAGCGTGTGCCGGGACCTGCAGGTGGTCCACGGCATCGTCCGCAGCGCCGGCCTCAGCCTCCTGGCCCAGGAGCGGCAGGAGAACCTCCCCGACGAGATCTACCACGTCTACAGCTTGGCCCTGAGATGAGCGGGCGGCGGGGCAGAGGGCCCGGCGGGCGGGCAGCCGGCAGCCAGGTGCCGTCAGGCCCATGCTGGTGGCTGGCAGGAGCAGTGAGGCCAGTAAACGGACCGGCCTGCCACCCTGCTGCACAGGCTCTTTCTGACACAGGACCCACGGGAGGAGCCAGCCAGTGGGCGGCGAGGCAGGCGCCTGGCGCCGCTGCCGCGGTGCGGACTGGGCAATGAGGTCTGTGGGGCACAGTGACCCATCAGCAGTGGAGACTCCCTGCTCTCCCATCACCAGCCACAGGCCTGGCTGCCTTCAGAGGAAGAGCCCTGACTGGCTATGGGCACCTCTGGGGAGGCCGGCCTGTTCCCGCAGCGGGCGGCAGCTCACGTTCCGAGTCCTCCCGGGTGACGGCCCTGGTGTCCCTGACGGTCACAGCGGCCCGTGGCCGGGAGAGGCTCGCGGCTCACGCTTGGCCGTGCCTTGCGGTTCCTCCTTGGCGGACGTTTTCAGTCAAAAATAAAAAGGGTGAGCCTTGTGTTGCAAGGCCCCACGGGTCTGGAGTGCTTTTTTTATGGGACAAGTGTCATACTGACCCCCTCTTCCAGGATGCTGTGGGGTCCCTCATCCTGAAACGGGGGGGCAGAAATGTTACCAAGGGCCTTTTAAGGCCAAGTCAGTTTAATTGGGTAATATAAATATGCCATTTAGTTGCCTTAGCTTATTTCTGAGGCATTTACACAATTCACAAGACCAACGTGACGGCTTTGAGAGGCTCGGCGCTAGGCGAACAGCCTTCGGCTTTCGCCCTCAGATGAGACACTGGAATGTCCCCAGTCATGCATGATTGCTTTTTAGCAGAGGGCATGGTCCCCATGACCTGGGTTTGGCACAGCCCTGGGCCCAGGTGGCCTGGCTGGGGCTGTGACGCCAGCAAGAAGCAGCTCCGCTTCCTCCCCAGCCCAGAGCCCTTCTGGGGAGCAAAGAGCCTCCCTGGGCTGCACCCACAAAGGCCCACCCAGCTCCTCTGCTCCAGCTCTGTCCGTGCAGCTCTCAGGAGGCCTGGCTCAGGAATGCCCTCCAGTCCTTCCACGCTTGTCCCAAACCAAAACCTGTCATTTTCCCTGTGGGTCAAGAACTGGGTCACTGTCAAAGGGATGGGGGCCGTCTCCCTGAAAGACAGCCTTTCCCACAGGAATGACCGCAGCTGGCAGCTCTCCTTGTACCACCTGCGCCTTCTGACAGGCAGGACCTAAGGTTCCCCAAGGCCCCGCCGGGACTTCAGTCCACCAGCGGGCCGGCTGAGGGGCCCAGACCTGTCCCCTCGGTCCGCAGCGGTCAGATGTCCGCCTCCACGGGACTGCTGTGCTCGCTGAGGAGGTACCACTTCAGCCTGTCGGGCAGAGGCAGCGCCTGCACCTTCGCATCCACGGGCCACGGCTGCAGGTGGAGCCGGATGTGGACGCGACACAGGTGCTTGAGGGGCGGGGGGTAGCTCTCCAGCTGCCTCAGGGAGGCGTGGAGGGCCCGGATCTTCTCTGCCAGGCTGCCCACCGGGTGGATGTCAAAGTTCTCCGGCAGCTGCAGCTTCTGGGAGTTGGTCACCATGAGGTCCAGGACGGTCTCGGCTTTGCGCAGGAGGTCCCCGTGGCTCTCGTCCTCGGCACAGCCCGGGTGCGAGCAGAGCCGGTCGAAGACGACGTGGAAGCCGGACCAGCAGGACGCTCCGTGGAGGGAGCAGTTATAGGCAGCCCCGGACTCGAGCAGGAAGCGCAGGAGGGGGAAGTGCACTTGGAAGCTCTTGAGGCAGATGTGCGTGAGCGACTCGTGGGCGGGGCACTCGCTGGGGTCGGCCCCGTGGGCCAGCAGCAGCTGCGTGACTTGGAAGCAGAAGCGGTTGATCATCTGGGCTTCCTCTTTGTCTCCACCCACCGTCTCGCCCAGCAGGAAGATGATGCAGGTGAACACCGTGTCCCCGTCTTTGGTGGTCGACCTCACGTCTGCCCCTGGAGAGCCAGCAGGGAGGACGGAGATGGAGGAGCCGTCATCGGGGCGGGGGAGCCACAGGCCCTGCGGACCCGGGGGAGGGGGGAGGGCAGCGGGGAGAGCCTCACCTCCCTCCAGCAGCAGCCGGATGTTCTCGGTGTTGTGGATCTGCACGCCGTCGCTGCTGGCCAGCGCGTGGAGCAGGGCAGTCTTCCCTGAGGAGGGCGAGTGGGGGAGGAGGCCATGAGCCGAGGGAGGGCAGCCCCAGAAGGAGGGAGACGGACGCTCAGATCAGAAAATGACCTTGGAGAAGGACTGGCCTCTCAGCGAGGGCTGAGGGTGACCGCCTCCTGGCCATTCTTTCCAGCCACACACCAGAGCAGAGGAGGATTTTCTGGACCCTGGGACGCTACCCGAGACCTGACTGGGTCTCCCCCAACAGGAAGACGGTTCCCCGAGAAGCTGAGCACGGGCCCCGGGGTCCCCCCTCAGGCAGCCGTCAAGGGGCTGGCGTGGGCGGACTGCACTCACGGGGCTGGGCACCCAGAGGAGGCACCCACCATGCTTGTCGGCTGCATTGACGTCTGCCCCAAGGTCCAGGAGGCGCTGCAGGCAGGGCAGGCGCTCCGGCTCCTCGCTGGCCAGGTCCAGGGGGCTGCTCTCGTGGATCTGAGCCAAGAAGGCACAGCCGGTTGGCCTGGGCGCTGCTCACGCCCCTACGGCACCCCCCTCAGAGCAGGCCGCCCAGCTTACCCGGTCCCGGCGATTGATGTCGGCCCCGTGGCGCACCAGCAGCTCCACCATGTCAGGCTGGTTTCGCAGGACCGCGATGTGCAGGGCCGTGTAGTAGGTGACCGGGTCTGAGGGCACAGCCAGCTCGTCAGTGCTGCCTGTCAGTGCATTCTCCAGAATCCAGTCCCGGCACCCCGCCCCCAACGGCCCCGGCCGCTGTCACCGGAGGGTCCAACACAGCCGTCCTCACTGGGTGCCTCAGGCTCTGGTGGGACCTAGGCTCGGGTCCGGGGTGTTGTGGTGGGTACGGCACCCACTAATCTGTTTGGGCTTCGGCTTCCTCTGCTTAAAGGGGACCACACCACAGGGCACCTCCTCTCTGCCAGGCTGCCCACAGGGTTACTGGGAGGACACCCAGTGCCCGCTCCTCAAGCCTGGCAGCCATGTCCTCAAAGCCGGGTCTCCAGGCGCCTGATTTCAGAGCACCCCCTCTCCTCCCGCCCCCGTCACCCCTCTGAGGGGAGAGGAGCCTGGCCATGTCCTATGTGAGCGCAAAAACGACTTCCATTTGGTCACAAGCCGGCCCCACGCGTATCCTGGCTGACCCTGCCTTCCTGGGTGAAAAGGTCGCCTCCCGAGGCCGCCCCCACCCTACAAGCTAGAAGCCCACACAGTGCTGCTGTGATTGAGGCCCAGTGTCCCCCTCTTCCGTGGGATGAACGAAAATGCAAGAGCGCTCAGATTGAGCGGCAGGAAATGACCTTCCCTTAGTGCCGGGCACAGAGCCAGCGGCGGCAGCATGTCACCTGCGCGGAAGCAGGGAATTAGCCGAGCCCGAGGCGTTGCTCAATCAACCACACGGGAGCACCACCGAGCCTGCTCCGGGCCCAGGCGCTCAGGGCTGCGGGGTGGGGGCCGCCCAGTGCGGGTTCCTCACCGTCACCCTCACAACAAGCCAGCGACGGAGCTGCTCAGAGAACAGGTCAGAGCCCAGCGGCCCGGCCGCCCTGCACCGCCCGCCGGGACTGACCTTCAAAGTGCAGGTTGGCGCCATGGCGCAGGAGGACGTCGGCCGCCTGGGTGAGCCCCAGCTCGGCCATCTTGAGCAGCGCGTTGCTCACGCCTTCCTGGTAGAACGGGGAGTGGGCCTTCCTCTCCAGCAGCTCCGTGAGCACCAGCAGCCGGCTCTCCTCGCTGGGCACGTACCCGGGCCTGGAGGAGCGGGCAGGAGGGAGGACAGCGGATGGGTGTCCGGCGTCCGGCACCCCCTTCCCCCCGAGACAGACCCCGCTGTGTCTCCAGCTCCTTCCCAGGCGCAGAGAACCTGGTCCTGCCTGGGGTCCGAGCCTCACACACCGGCTGCTGGGGCGGAGAGGACCGGTGGCCAGGAGCAGACCCCGGCCTCCTCCCTCAGACCCCGGCCTCCTCCCTCAGACCCCCGCCTCCTCCCTAAGACCCCGGCCTCCTCCCTCACACACCCACGATCCTCCTCCCTCACACACTGACCTCCTCCTCACACACCGGCCTCCTCCCTCAGACCCCGATCCTCCTCCCTCAGACCCTGGCCTCCTCCCTCACACACCGGCCTCCTCCCTCATGCACCGGCCTCCTCCCTCAGACACTGGCCTCCTCCCTCATGCACCGGCCTCCTCCCTCATGCACCGGCCTCCTCCCTCAGACACCAGCCTCCTCCCTCAGACACCAGCCTCCTCCCTCAGACCCTGACTGTCCCAGGGCAGGCAGCAGCCCTCCGTCCTGCTCTCCGTCGGGGCCATCGCCTCCCGGTCTCCCCTTGGCGGGTGCACCCAGACTTCACGCCCCACCCCCACCCTGTGACCCCAGCACCCTGGCCGCTCAGAGCCACCAGGGCTGTCCCCGCTGCCCGCTCCCCCTCAGTCCCCCCCTCTGCACCCCTCCCATCGCTGGGGTCAAGGTTCCATCCCCACTGCCTGGGCAGGACCCCAACACCCTAGAGAGCCAGTGCCAGGGGTGCCAGGCCGCCTCCGGGAGCTGCCCCCAGCCGCCCAGAGCGGCCCCCGGACCCCACGAACAGGGCCGGCCCCCCACAGGGGCATTCCAGCCGCCCCCACACCCGCCACCCCTTCCTCCGGAGCCAGCTGCGCCCAGGCCGCCAGCCCCTCCTCCGCGATGGGCACAGGAAGGCGGGCCCTGGCCCTGGGGCCCCGCACCCTCTGCCGGGTCCGCGCACAGCTTCGCGGGCCGGATGAGCATGGGCCCGCGGCCGCCTGCCCCTCCGCCATCGGTGCGGGGCCGGGCGGGCACGGGGGCAGCGGGGCGGGCACGGGGCAGCGGGGCGGGCACAGGGGGCAGCGGGGCGGGCACGGGGGCAGCGGGGCGGGCACGGGGGCAGCGGGGCGGGCACGGGGGCAGCGGGGCGGGGCGGGCACAGGGGGCAGCGGGGCGGGCACGGGGCAGCGGGGCGGGCACAGGGGGCAGCGGGGCGGGCACGGGGGCAGCGGGGCGGGCAGGGGGGGCAGCGGGGCGGACACGGGGGCAGCGGGGCGGGCACGGGGCAGCGGGGCGGGCACGGGGGCAGCGGGGCGGACACGGGGGCAGCGGGGCGGACACGGGGGCAGCGGGGCGGGCACGGGGGCAGCGGGGCGGGCACAGGGGCAGCGGGGCGGGCACGGGGCAGCGGGGCGGGCACGGGGGCAGCGGGGCGGGCACACGCACACACACACACACCCACGCACTCACCCCGCCAGCGGCTCCGGGCGCTCGGGGTCCTGCACGCCCAGGGAGCCCAGGATGGCGTCCACCAGCGGCTGGTACTCGAAGATGATCCTGCGGAAGCCGTGCAGGAAGGGCATCGCGGCGCCGGGCCTGGCCTCGCCGGTGCGTCCAGCCCGCGCCCCGGTCCGCCGCCGCGACGCCGCCCCGCCGCCCTGTGCCGGAAGTGGCCGGCTGGCTTCCGGTCCGCGTCGCCCCGGAAGTGAGGGACGGCGACGGCGCCCCCTGCGGCCCGGAGGAGCGCAGCGCCTCCCGGGGCTCCAGCCGGGGGAGCCGGCGGACCCAGCGGTGCCGGAGGGGAGGCCCCGCCGGCTCCAGGGCCCGGCCCACCAGGGCCCCCCGCCTGGCGCCCGAGCCCGGGCCCTGGCACCGCTATGCGAGCGTTAGGCGTCCTCCTTTGGGCCGAGTGTTTGAACCCCCAACCTCGAGCCCACGGGGGTGGGGGGGTATCTGCTGTGAAGGGGTGTGCGGGGCCCAGCCGTGGCCTCCACCGCCCTCCCCGCCAACCGGGGGGGGCTTGGGAGTCTCCCCCCCCGCACCTGTCCGAGAGGAAAATCTGTTTAGAGTCACATTTAATCCGATGCGTTGTATTTTTATTTTATTTTATTGATTTTAGAGAGGAAGGGAGAGGGAGAGAGAAACATCAATGACTGGCTGCCTCTTGCACGCCCCCTACTGGGGATCGAGCTCGCAACCCAGGCATGTGCCCTGGGCTGGAATCGAACCTGGGACCTTTCAGTCCGCAGACTGACGCTGTAACCATTGAGCCAAACCAGCCGGGGCATTCCGATGAGTTCCATGGTTAAACATTTAAAATGGGCAGAATAGGCCTCCCCCAAGAGTAGAACAGAGTTCACAAGAAAAGCCGTCCGGAGCATGCCCCGGGCAGCTCTGGGGACACAGGGGCGCATGTGGCGGGCTGGACAGCTGTTCGCGGCTGTTGCTGGCTCATTTCCGAGGTGGTTGGGCGGATCAAATGCCAAAGTAGGAGCCCTCCCTCGTCAAGCACACCACACGCCTCGTTCCCTCCCTCCATGGCCTAGAGGAGCGAGAGGGATGTCCTGGGCACCACGCGCCCTCCCGTCTCCTGGCTGCCTCTTCAGCTCCTGCCTGCCCCTCGCATTCCTGGGCTTGTGGCTGCATCCTTCCCACCTCTGCCGACCTCTCTCTTCACCGGACCCTCCTGCGTATGTCTGTGTCTCTGTCCACATCTGCTCCTTTCTAAACCACGCCAGCCATCGGATCTAGGCTCCCCTCTCTCCACCCCCTCCCCCCAGCCCAGCATCACCTCTTCTTAACTTAATTTCATTGACAAAACCCCTTTTTTCAAAGAAGGTCCGGGTCTCAGGTCCCAGAGGCTAGAACTTGAACACATCTCTCCGGAGGACACCATTAAAGCCGTTGTCGCCCTAACCCGTGTGGCTCAGTGGATAGAGCGTCGGCCTGCGGACTGAAAGGTCCCAGGTTCGATTCTGGTCCAGGGCATGTACCTTGGTTGCGGCACATCCCCAGTGGGGGGTATGCAGGAGGCAGCTGTCCGATGGTTCTCTCTCATCGATGTCTCTAACTCTCTATCCCTATCCCTTCCTCTCTGTAAAAACAAATCAATAGAATATATTTAAAACAAACAAACAAATCCGTCGTCATGAACGATGCCAGGGGTGACCGCTGTGGGCCCTGGGCCTGTTTCCTCGCCTGGAAGCGGGAGGCCCTCGGCTCTGTCCGTCTTGGAGCCACTAGAGGGCACTGCAAACCGCAATGACCTGTGCCCAGCAGAGTGAGTGTGCGTTACGGAGCCCGCTTGGCGTGCCCGCTCTGTGCTAACGGCTGGCACCCTGACCTCCCTCAACCCCTCAGTCCCAGGAAGAGATGACGGCGTCATGTCACTTCGCCAGCGAGGAAACGGAGGCGCAGAGGGAGGGGTGGGGGTGCTTGTCTGACAGTGCCCAGCCAGACCTGGCCTCGGGGAGCCCAGGGGTCTGCAGCTCCTCCGGCTCCGGGTCCGAGGGGCTCTGGACACGCAGAGGGAGGAGCTGACCTCTGCTCTGTCACAGCCCCCGGGCACCGAGCTGCGGAGCCAGCCGCCCTGCCGCCGGCCTGTCGCCCAGGCTCCTCCCGTCCGTCCGTCGGCTCCGCGCCCCCTGACCTCCCTGCTGTCACCGAGGGCAGCCTGCTTCCTCCATCTGCCTCCCATTAGCCCCGCCACTCAGGCCTCTGCCTTCAGCTCTGCCGTCTCTGTTCTTCCTCTGCCACCGTCCCCCGCCTGCCAGCCTGCCCTCCCGCCGGCCAGCCCGGCTCCTCCGCAGGCCGCCCCGGAGGCCTCTCCCGGTCTCTCCTCCCCGGAGCTGGGGGCCTCTCTGACGCTTCGATGCAGAGGTGGGCAACCCTGACATATAAAACACTGCAGAACACCGACCAGAGACAGAACACTGAGAGAGCAGCCCAGGCGAGCACAGAGGATGGAACCTGCCGAGGAGCGTGAGGAGAGAGCGCCGCCCTGCAGCTCCGCACCCGCCAGCCCGGCCCTCAGCCGCCCCGGGCTCCCCGGCCGCTCCCCGAGCAGGTGCAGAGGCCTGTGTGAGCGCCCAGGAGAGGGGGTGCTCACACTCACACACATGTACACTCACACTCACACACATATACACTCACACACATGTACACTCACACTCACACCCGCACATACTCACACTCACACATACACACGCGTACACTCACACTCACGCACATATACACTCACACACATGTACACTCACACTCACACATACTCACACACACATGTACACTCACACTCACACCCACACATACTCACACTCACACTCACACATACACTCACACTCACACATACTCACACTCACACTCACACATATACACACATACACATACACTCACACATACACTCACACACATATACACTCACACTCACACATACACACATGTACACACACATATTCACACATAGACACACACATGTACACCCACACCCACACATACTCACACACACATGTACACTCACACCCACACATACTCACACTCACGCACACACTCACACTCACACATACTCACACTCACACCCACACATACTCACACTCACACTCACACATGTACACTCACACATACTCACACTTACACATAGACACACACGTACACTCACACTCACACCCACACATACTCACACTCACACATACACACATGTACACTCACACATACTCACACATAGACACACACATGTACACTCACACTCACACCCACACATACTCACACCCTCACATACTCACACTCACACATACACACATGTACACTCACAGTCACACACACTCACACACACATATGAACTCACACTCATACACACACATACACTCACACTCACACACTCACATGCACACACTCACATATACATACACATGCACACATATACGCACACACACTTACATATACATTCACACACGCTCACACACATATACACACACTCTCTCACATATACACTCATAGACACGCTCTCTCACGTGGACACTCTCAGGCATGCTCACATATATACACTCACGCTCGCACACACATATACACTTACATGTATACACACACTCAAATATACACACACTTACATGTATACATTCACACTCACACACACTCTCACATACACTCACACACATTCTCACACATACACTTACACTCTCATACACACTCACACACATACACTCACCCACATACACACACCCTCCCAGGCCCCTCTGCCCAGGAGGGCTGTCAGCACCAGGGCTGTCCTCTACAAGACCCTGAAGGGGGGCTGGGGAAAGCCCCGCTTCCCCTGTGTGCTCGGCCGGGTCGTTGGGAAGCACAGTGTCTGCCCCAAGGAGCGCCCTCCCTCTGGGGACAGCCCGCAGCTTCGGGCAGGCCCAGGGCAGTCCAGGCACCGGGGCCGAGGCAGGGCTGTGAGAGCCAGGCGTGAGCTGGGCTAGGCCCAGGGCAGCTCCCAGGGAGGTCACTGAGGGATCTCCCTTCTTCAGCTATCCTGTGCCCCCATCCCTGTGCGCCCACCCCATGCCCCCATCCCCGTGCCCCCATCCCCGTGCTCCATCCCCGTGCCCCCATCTCCGTGCCCCCATCCCCGTGCCCCCATCCCTGTGCCCCCATCCCTGTGCCCCCATCCCTGTGCCCCCATCCCTGTGCCCCCATCCCTGTGCCCCCAATCCCTGTGCGCCTGCATCAGAGGCCCTGCCTGACCCCTCACTTCACCTGGGGGGCCGGCCCCAGAGTTAATGCCCACCCCCAACCCCCCGGCAGGTCCTCTCCTCCCCCGGGGCTGCTCAGGGCCCGCCTCTCCGGCTCCTGGCCGGCAGGGCTGTGTCATGGGGCCCAGGCCTTGCCCTCCCAGCCTGGTCCCTCTTCCGGGCGGGGTGAGGCCTCAGGGCCCCCCCGAAGCGCAGAGAGCGGGGTGAGAAGGCGCTGAGGGCCTCAGTCAGCTCGGGCTGCCATAACAGAGGACCATGGATGGGCGGCTTCCCAGCAGCCATTTCTTCCTCGCAGTCCGGGGCTGGGAAAGCCAGGAGCATGGGCACAGCGGGCTTCATGGCGGCCGCCTTCCCGCCGTGCGCTCACTGCCCGCTGGCCTCTCCTGTGCCCACCACAGAGGGCGCTCTGGAGACCCTCTTCTTGTGAGGGCACCAACCCCATCCTGTCCCCCCCAACCCCCCCGCCCCCAGCCATGGCGTCATCTAACCATCCTCCCCCAAAGGCCCACCGCCCCATCCCGTCACATGGAGGGCAGGGGGGCAGCATGTGAATTTGGGGGACACAATGTTCAGTCCTTACAGAGCCCCTCAGACCCCTCACCCCAGGAGGGAGGGAAGGGGCCTGGTCTCAGCCGCCGGCGCTCTCCGCCTCGCTGCACCAGCCGCACGAGAAGACCCTGCTTTCGGGGCTCCTCCAGAAGTCGGGGGGCTGCTGAGAGTGACCCCTCACTTCACCTGGGGGGCCGGCCCCAGAGTTAATGCCCACCCCCAACCCCCCGGCAGGTCCTCTCCTCCCCCGGGGCTGCTCAGGGCCCGCCTCTCCGGCTCCTGGCCGGCAGGGCTGTGTCATGGGG